GGAGCCGGGCTGGAGACCGGCTTAGCCCAGCCAGTGGAGGATGGCCCCGGGCGTGAAGAGCCCCACCACATCCCCCGTTGGCCTTGAGGCCTTCACGCCCTGCTGTTGGTTAGCTGTGGCTGTAGGCTGCCCCTAAAGGGAGGGGCCTGGAACCTTCCTGGTGTTTTCAGGATAAGAAGTCGGCCCCCTGCCAAGGCACTGATAAACATGGCAGGAGGAGGGGGCCCAGAGCTCAGGGTGGGGCGCGGCCTGCACAGAGCCCGGGTGATAGTAAGGAACTCGAGCTGCTGACAGGATCGAGGCCCGCAGCACATGTGCACTGAGGGTGGGGACGAGGTCTGCCTGTGGACCTCAGACCCCAGGTCCATGCGCTGAGGGCCCCACCTCCTGCGGTCCGTGCTCTCCTGCCTGCTCCATGTGCCGCAGTTCCCTGCAAGCACCCCGTGTGCCAACCCTGGCCCTTCCTGGACGCAGAATACGGCTTCACTCCTCTGGGCCTTCGCACACGCTGTTCCCTCTGCCTGGGATCCCCCTTCCCGGCTCAGGTGCCTGGTGATGCCCCACTTACCTTCTCAAATACAGCGCAAGTGGCCCTTCCTAATATTTCTATGTTGTGAGCAAATAAAGCTTCATCCCAGGGTGCCATGGAATTTACTATGCCTGCAGCGTGAGCGGCAAAAGTCCCGGGGATACAGAGCTGGGAGTGTGTGGTGTGCTGGCCGCAGCCCAAGCCTGTCTTAGGCACTTGCCTCAGCATCCCGGTCACCTGCTGTGCCCTTACCATGTAAGGGGCCTCAGCAACCCCCAGGACAGGCTCAGAGAGGCTGGAGAGTGGAGGGAGGCAGAGTGCAGTACCACCGCTGCTCCAGCACGCGTGTACCGGACACGTGATTGAATGGCTGCTCCCAGCAAAGCCAAGAGGGCGAAGATTTGAGAGCACAGGCCTGCGGGTCAGGCCAGGGTCTGCACTGCCCTTGGTGGGGAGCGGAGGGACCAGGACAAGCAGTTCAGAGTCCGGCTGTAGGCGGTGGAGGGAGCAGCCCCGGGTGGGCAGTCCCTCTGCGGGGCAGACTCCCCGGAACCCTGCGTTCTCCTGTTCTTCCCTCCCTCGGGTTCCCACAGCCCAGGGCCAGCCTCTGCCCACCCCTTATCACACTGCATTGCCAATGCGTGTTCATGTTCTGTCTCTCCCACTTCAGAGGCAGGGGCTGGGTGGCACTCAGCCCTTTGTGGAGGGGACTGTCTGCCCAGAAACAATCTGGTTTTTTTTTTTTAATCAAGGAGAGGAGCTGATCAGAACTCCGGGAGCCCTGCTGAGAGCACAGCCAGCCTCCGCTCAGCTCTGCAGGCAGCAGCCAGGGCCCCCAGGCCAGCGCAGGAGCAGCTGCTCAGTTGACCAGGTACCAGCCTTGGCTGGCTGTCTCCCTAAGGAGAGGCAGGCCCAGGACTCTGCAGACAGGACCTAAGAGGTCCCGGTGCTGGGAAGGCGCAGGACAGTTTTCGGGGAAGGCAGGGGCTGGCGTTGAAGAGGTAGAGGTGGGTTTAGAGAGCTGTTCCTGTCATTGCTGCCTGGTGCTCTCCTTCCAGGAGCCCATGGCACCCCTGAGCTCGGGGAGGCAGTGTGTGGTGACCCACCAAAACTGTCTGCACGGGTGTAGGTTAGAAAGGGGAGACAGGCACGAGACCAACAGATGGCGTAGTGGTTACGTCGCTGGACTCCCGCCGAGTTGACTGCAGTTCTAGTCCTGGACCTGGTGGCTTAAAACTCATGCCAGGCGTGTGTGTGTGTGTGTGTGCCCAAGATCCGAGAGGAGAATGAAGAAGGGAAGGGATTGTGGCATGGCCATTCCCCTGGGGGGTGATTTCTTGCTTTCAGTCTCTTTCTGTCTTTCTGGTGAGTGCATGTGCCCTATAGTAAAAATCTCTCTCAAAAAAAAAAAAAAAAAGAAAGAAAGAAAGAAAGAAAGAAAGGAAGGAAGGAAGGAAGGAAGGAAGGAAGAAAAAGAAAGGGGAGGCCGGCAGGTTATGTTTACCATCCTGAGCAGCAAACCTGTGGGGGCCAGGGCTGGGAGGATTACTAGGAATAATATTGTACGATATATTCTATATTACAGCAGCGGACACCTGGAAGGTGCAGGCACCGTGTTAAGTACTCTCCTTCTCAATCCTGTGTAATCCTCCAAAAACCCTTAGAGATCAGACCTCCTGCTGCCTCCTGAAGGAGCCTGGCTCCATGGGGGTGGGTTTTTAAAATGCTGTTCAACAGTGTGTCCTTGGCACCCGGAGGGTACCTGGTGTGGCAAGCACTTGGTAAGTATGTGCTGGTGAGCACACTAGCTCCGTTTAGCAGGAGAGGAGACCAGACCCAGCGCGGTAAGTGACTTGCTCAGTCATGCTGTGCTGGGGAAGCCATCCTGGAACTTTCCACGGTGACCGAGACATCTGTGTGTCTGTGTCATCATTGGCACCTCCCAAGGACTAGTGTGATGACAAACTGAGGCTTCACTTTGTGAAAATCTCAGTGGCAGTGAGACAGCCACCGGTGCCTGGGCCTCCTCTGATAGGGCACAGTTCTAGGCCTGAGGGCCTGCCCTTCCCACAGGCTCGATGTTCACTGATCACTGAGACTTTGGAAATGTAGCCCGGCAGGCGGCGTGGGGCGAGGCATGGCTGGGGCGAGGCGTGGCTGGGGCGCGGCGTGCCTGGGTGCAAGTGACTGCCTTTGGCTTCCCCAGCAGTGAGCACTCTGGGAGGCTGTGGTCCACGCGGCCGGTTTACCTCTGCGAGGTTCGGAGAGGCCGGAAGAGACGTTGCTGGCTCAGCGTTACCCTACCAAGGCTGGGCCCAAGCCAGGTTTGCAACCTTGAAATGCCAAGTTGCTAAACCACTTTGTTTTAACACTTGGCAACAAAGAAAAGAAAGAAACACGGTCTGGTCCAGTGAGCCGTGGAGCAGTCAGGCTGTGGCCATCACGGGGCTGGTCAGGGACCTCTGTGGTGACGCTGCCAGGAGCGGTTCTGACCCGGCACAGCCCAAGCTAAGAGCCAGCTCAGCCTCCTGCCCGACACCTGCTTTCTCTGCCTCCTCCATGCCTCTGTCTAGGGGCAGGTATCTCCTCTCCCTTGAATCAAAACATGATCTTGAAAAAGTGCCTGGGGCCACAGGTGCTGTAGCGATTAAGGCGCTGGATTCCCACGTGGCTGACAGTGGTTTGATTTCCAGACCCAGCAGCTTGGAAATCATTTGGGGTGCATGTGCGTGCATGCCCCAAATCTCGAGAGGAGAATAGAAAAGGGGCTGTGGCATGGCCGTCCCCCTGGGAGTGATTTCCCACTTTCCCTTTTTTGGTTTCTCTCTCCTGCCATCGGGTGTACTCTACGGCAAAAATCTTTTAAAAAAAAGAAAAGAAAAGAAAAGAAAAGAAAGAAAAGAAAGGAAGGAAGGAAGGAAGGAAGGAAGAGTGCCTGAAGCAGAGGAGCACTAGGTATTAAAGATTACCATCTACTTCTGGGACCAGCAGAGGGCGTAGCGGTTACATCGCTGGACTCCCACATAGTCTACCATGATTTGAGTCCCAGACCGGTGGCTTGAAACTCACCCCAGGCATGTGTGCATTCATGCCCAAAATTCCAAGAGAGAATGGAGGAGAAGGGATTGCAGTGTGGCCATCCCCCTGGTAGTGATTTCTAACTTTCTTTTTCTCTGTGTCTCTGGCAAACGCACATGCCCTGTAGCAAAAATCTCTCAAAAAACTAAACAAAACAAAGTCTATTTCCAAATGATTTTTGTAAGTGGAGTCAAAAGCTTAAGCCAAGAACACGTCTCTGATTGGAAGAGCATCTGGCATCGTCGGGAACAGCTAGCATTCATGGAGCTGTGCGCGCTGCTCAAAGTGGTCGTCCCTTCATTAAACTCTTGGGACAGCACCACGAGACAGATGTAAATGCTACTTCGTTTGGAGATGGGGAAGCTGAGGCACAGTAAATTGAGGTAGTGGGGGTCCAGTTCACATAGCAGGGGAGTAGCCAGGGCAGGGTTCACATGTGGACGGAGGGGCACACAATCCTGGGTAGGCCAAGGCCGGGTAGAAAGTGCTGCCAGGGACAGTCTGGGCCCAACTCCAGCCGTGGCTCTTCCCACTTGCTGCTCCAGTTCTGCAGGGCATTTCCTGCGTCTTGTCCTCTGGCCTCCCAGTTAATCGAACTCCTCACAGACACGACCGGGTCAGCCAGACGTGTTTTGACTTAAGACAGCTGGATTGCAGATGGTTGACCACAAGATTTGAGTCCCGGCAGCTTGAAAAACATGCTGGTTGCATTCGTGCGTGTGCCCAAAATCCTGAAAGGAGAGATGGGGGAGAGGGATTACAGCATGACTGTCTCCCACGGGGGTGCACTCTCAACCCTCCCCTTCTTCTCTGTCTCTCTCCAGAGTGCACTTACCCTCTAACAAAATCAGAAAAATAGAAGAGGGGACCAGCAGTTAGCGTAATGGCTATGCCGCTGGACTCCCACGTAGTCGACCGCGGTTCGCATCCCGGACTCGGTGGCTTAAAACTCACGCCGGGCATGTGTGCGTGCGTGCCCAAGATCCCAAGAGGAGAATGGAGAATGGATTGTGGCGTGGCCATACCCCCTGGAGGGTGATTTCTCGCTTTCTGTCTCTCTGTCTCTCTCTGGCTGGCTGGTGAGCGCGCATGCCCTATAGCAAAAACCTCTTGAAAAAAAAGAAAAAAGAAAGAGTATTTAGGAAACCAACCCCAGCTCCTCCTCCCAACCTCCTCTAGGGGGCACCCTAGAGGAAAGAGCTGCAGCTGCAATAGCAGTTATTGTGGGGTTGCCTCTTCCAGGCTGTTCTAGTGGAGGTGGGGAGGCAGCAGCTCCGCGTACCCGCTTCCAAATAGTCTTGAGAGGGAGCCAGAGAGGTCCTCCTTTCCCTGCCTCCCTCAGTAACAACCGCAACCTCCAGGCACCAGGCACGGTCAGAGCCAGCTCGGGCACCCTGCAAGAGAGCCGCTGGCAGCCTTTCTGATGAACTGGGTGGCTGGGGGCTGCACGAGACAGCCTGGCTTCCTCGTCCTGCCATACACAGGCCAGCCCTGTGATGTTGGGCAAGTCATCTAATTGTTCAGAACCTCAGTTTCCTCATCTGTAAAGTGGGACTAACAATAGTATTCACCCATACGGTTAGTATAAGAATTAGGTGGGCTAGTGGAGTGTTTAGCCAGAGGCCTGTGCATCACCCAGGATCACCCGAGGCTGACCTGTCTAGGCCATCCCCTCTGTTTTGCTATTTCCTGTGTCTGGGTGGCGCGTTCTTTACACTGGGCATTTTCCTGTGCCTTTCGTTTTTGAACTAAGTTGTTGAGGATGGAAATAATTGAACCTCGAGTGGGCCTCTTTAGGGATACTGGCAGTTGTTCTAGCAAGGGCTGGCTTCCTGGGTGTGTGCGTGCAGTTATGCACCCCCCCCCCAGCAAGGCCCTGCACTTGGGGTTTAACTCCAGTCTAGATTATTGACATTCTTTTTATTTATTTATTTATTTTTTGTAGAGGGTTTTGCTATATGGCACGTGTGCTTGCCAGAGAGACAGAGACAGAATGCAAGAAATCACGCCCCCCCCCACGGGGGGATGGCCACGCCGGCATAAGTTTAAGCCACCGGGTCCAGGACTCGAACCGTGGTTGACTACATGGGAGTCCAGCGACATAGCCATTATACTAACTGCTGGTCCCAATTGTTGACATTCTTAATCACTTCATCTCTGCATTTGTGTTGTGTAAGTGGCATAGGAGGGAACAATGGGGCGTGTGCTGGAGGGCTTAGACCCAGGTCACTCAGACCCCCCTCACCTCCCTGCCCTTCCCAGGCTCTTGGTTACTCAGCTCCCTTGGCCCTGCCCCAGAGTCACTGTCACTGGTGGGGGCCTGAGCACAGGAGCAGGAAGACCGTTACCCACCAGATCACACACAGGTACCTGTGAGAGGTCTACGTGTATCCCACAGGAGCCCACACCCAACGAGCATGCATGAAACAGCCAATCAAAAGAACCACTGTGGCCAACAGACTGCTTTTTGCACAAGGGGCCCTGCATTTTCACTCTGCACTGGGCCCTGGAAATCAGGTGCCAGCCCTGGTCCCACATGTAAGTGCCAGCTCTGAGAAAGGTCAGCGCTGAGCCGCTGCGGGAAGGCGGGCGCTTCCATTTTCCCTTTTTCTGGCCTACCCTCAGTGTCCGCATCTGGCCCTGTTTGTGCAACTTTGAAAGACATTCTGAACCCTTCCCCAAGAAGGCAGGGGCTAGAAAGACAGGGAGAAACACGCTTTTGTCTGATTTTGTTTTCTAACAGCATGATTGAAGCATCACTCACAACTATCAAAGTCATCCTTCGAAACTATACAGTTCAGTGGGCTACAGTACGCGGAGCCCGGCAGGTACCAGGGCTGGTTCAGAACTATCATCCCCCAAATAAAACGCCACCTCTTAGCCTTCAGCAGCCACCCCAGCTCCCAGCCCTGGTAACCCCTAGTCTTTCTGCCTCCAGCGATGGGCCTGGGCCGAGCACCTCACACCCCTGGAGGAGCCTGTCTGTCTTTCTGGCTTCTTTCACTGAGTGTGCCTTCAAGGTGAGAAGTTCACCACGACAAATACAGAGCTCCCACTGTGTGCCTGCCTTGGGGGAAAAAGGCAACCATAAATCCGGGACGGAGGCTTTCTTGTGGGGAAGAGAGACCTAAGTGGAATGAGTAAATTATTTAATGCTGAACACTGCTAAGAGCGGGAAGAGACCGGAGGAGTGACTTGAGCGGGGCGTCAGCGCAGGCCTCACCACTGGGTGGACGTTCTAGCTCAGATTGAGCGAGGACGCTGCCACCTTGGTGCCCTCTTGCCAGCACCCAGGTCTCAGCACACGAGTCTGTCCCACGAAGGCCGGGGCCTGTCCCGTCCTGGGCAGAATGTGACACCCAGGGTATCACGACGCTGACTGCGGCCTGCCTTTGCTGGGGCACGGGGCCGAACAGGACCTTCCGGGGACCGCGGGGAGAGCAGGCGCCCACCCCGCAGCGCCCGTGCGCGCCCGTGCGCGCCGCC